CCCCGGCGTATGCAAAGCGGGCGGCTCCCGACTGGGCTCAGCCGAGCGCCCGCCATCCCCGCCGGTCCCCAGCGCCAGCGCCCGCACCCGCCCCGCGGCCGCGCACCATTCATCCACCGAGGAGGAGGGGGACGCGCGCGGGTGGAGCAGGGAGGGAAGGGTGCGCGCCTTGCAGCACCCATCCCCTTCGCTGATGCCATTGGGGACCTGGGCAGCGCCAGGAAGCTGGGAGGGGCGGTGAGGTTGCGACCTGAGATCGTGGGGACAGGTCAGATAAATCCTCCAGTGACCAGGGATGAGAGACTGGCTTGGTCTGGACCAGCTAGAGCAGGCTGTTTTGGGGGTCTCGGGGACTGTTTTCTGTCCAGGCACAGATGCATCTTTCTTCAGAAGGACCCTAGGACGGATACAGCGATTTCAGCTGTGACAACATCGCGATTTGGCTTTTTTTTTTTTTTTTCCTTTTTTTTTTTTTTTTTTTTTTTCCTTTTTCAGGGGAACAAGGGCAGGGCGTTTGTTTCCTGTCAGTTCCAGCGGGGACTCCTGGCGCATGAGTCCCTGGACATTCCACTGGAAGCTTGGGCCGCATTTAGGAACTCTCTTCCCTGTCCACTGCATTAGAGGACAATTTCAATTAGGCCCATATACTCAGAACAACTAATCGCAATCTCTCTCTCTCTCTCTCTCTCTCTCTCTCTCTCTCTCTCTCTGTGTGTGTGTGTGTGTGTGTGTGTGTGTGTGTGTCTAATACGTTGGTGCACACACGGCCTCATTCACCCATTTACATGTATAGCTTGCTATTCGCGCTCTAAGCAGTAACCATTCTTCCTGGGCCTCCAGAGACTTTGAGATGAAGAAAGCACCATTCACTGGGGCCCCTGTCTCACCAGTCAGGCTGCCTCCTTCTGAAGGGGCTTAAGGGGAACAGGTCCCAGCTGGGCTGCCGGCGGGACTCCAAGCCTCAGTTCTGGGGTCTCTTACAAGCTACTCCAGAGCCTGAGTTGGACCTGACTCTCCAAACATCTGGAAACCCACTATTGCATTCCATTTTGGGAAAGGAGAAAGGAGCACACTGGGGTCATTTCATGCCTGTCCTCCAAGGAGGAGCTCACCCTGCAGAGGGGGCCTGGTGCCCAAGAACCCGTCTGAGAAGTCGTTTGTCTGTGCTTGGGAAATGCAACCTTTTACTGGGAACCGGATGGGGGTGATGGTACTGGAAGAGCCAAGGGCAAACCCTCTTGTAGACACAGTGTTTTGGAGAGGGATTCTGGGGTCTTGCCACTTTCAGACCATATACTTCCACTTCTAATTGTAAAATTGTAGCCTGATCAGATGCCCAGAGAGGAACAAGAGGTCAAAGTGAAAGTGGGTGTACATAAGCTAGGGAGAGTTCTGAGGCACTCTGCTGAACAGCAAGGCATGGACTTGCCCTCCGGTCCCAGTTTGCAGACTCAGACCTAAGCTCAGAGCACTGCACATATCACCCTACTCATGTGCTCTCTGAGCTCCCTGGGCTTCCGGAAGGGTCCAAACCAATAAGGCTAGTCTCAGGCTTTTATCTGCTCAGATTCTGGGTTTGCCCTGACCAATGTTAAGCGATGCCCAATAAAACCTTCTTTGACACCCCCCACACACACACCCGGTTCTCCCCCACACCCAGTGTGCCCTTTCCCTGCTGACTTTTTAACAGTCTTGGGTAAATATTGATTTGCCCCAGTTTACCTTCTTACTGACTGGCCGTTTGCAGACTAAGAACCCAATCTCTGTGAAAACTTGATTTTTGTGTAACTTCCGAGCCCTCTCCGTCCATCCCCCCATGCCTTCCTCTCTCTAAGTGGCATTGTAAAACTCACAGTGACAAAGAGACAAAGTAGGGTTCGAGGCTCCAGTTCCTGGAGACTTGAGGGCAATTTTACATACAGGTCAGACACGGCTGGAGGCCAAGGTCAAGTTGAAAGTTGCAGTCTAGTCAGCGTGAGAAAAACAGCAATGAAAGCCTGGAGACTAGGACAGCTGCGAAGGACCCACCGCCCACCTCTCCTAATCTCAAGTCCCCTTTCCCTTGGAGTTCTGGTTTCTGGCTGTTTGGCTACTGAGCATCATTTTTTTGCTGTCTTTGTAGAGTTTTAGGGGCGGTGTTTACAGACTGACTCCTCTCTGCAGCCGCCTTGCTTTCAGCTGGGTTTTTCAGCCTCTGCAGTTTTCCAGCTAGACGCGGAAAAACGAAAACACAGCTTGGGAAGCCCCCACCAGCGGATACCCTGTGCCAATTCACCTTGGCAGTGGCCAGGCTGCTGGTGTACACAGCAGCCAAGGCCAGCTCCACATTCTACCCCCCCTCCCATTTCACTGGAACCGGGAGCCCTGCGTTCAGAGGAAGGGCCTCTGCTCTACGGACTGCCAAAGTCGGCCGGGTTCCTCCGCTCCAAAAATGGTGAGACAGGACTGCATCTTGTCCACCGAGAAGCCACAAGCAGGTTTGTCAGGGAAGAAGGGAGTGGGGTGGGGGCAGGAGGAAGGCTTTGGGTTGCATCTTGAACTCATTGGGCTTTGCTTCCTACACATGGCACCCCCATTAAGGAAGGGCTTAGGGCCTGAATTATTTAGATTTATGTCTCATCAATTTTTAAAAAATTCTCACAACACTGTTACTTGGAGGGAGCCTCCTTTTCCCTTCTTGTCTTAGATCTTAGATATATTGATGTGCTTTTTTTTGGATAATGGTGTCTTGGCATATTCTTCACTATTTTTAAATGTCTGCATGTCCTGTTAGATATTGAATGTAGCCACCCTGGGAATGTTTTCTAGAATTAGATGGAACTCTGGGAATAATTTGGGGTCTCACTTTCTAGAATTTCTGCTCATTTTGAAGCAAGAATAATCCCTCTGCTCAGTCTTTCAAGAAAGGAGATAGGAGATGCATTAATGGTTTGAAATACAAATTTTTACTCCTCCAGGCAGCAACCAGACTGGCTGCTGTGTAAAAAAATAAAAGGTTGCAGAGCAGTGAAGACTGAAGTGGAAAGCAAGCAGTCTCAGCATTTTTCCTCCTTTCCCAAAGGCACGCACAAAATCTGCTTGCTTGCCTGCCTAACCAGCAGAGCCTGACTCTCTGAGTTGTTTTTGTCCCCTAGGTTTCAGGATTCTTATAAGATTTTGGAGAAACACTTAACAATTTTATCTTCAGATTCCCTATGGATTAGGAAAGAAAAGTCAGGAAACCTACCGGGACCTTCCGGCAGCAGTGGCCATTTGAGCCAAGTACAGAACTGGGGGTGGAGGTTGGAGGGGCTTCAGTTATTTCCCAAGCTTTGCCTGATATGCCTAGATTTCTCTAGAAAGGCAGGAAGATGGTAGCCTGGGCAGAACCTAAAGGCTGTGGTTGCAGCCTGGCCTTTGTTCAAGGAGTTTCCAGAACCTTCTCCCTGTTCCAAAACACCTTGCCTTTTTGCTTGAGCAAGTCAGAGTGTCCTGTAGGACTTTTGTAGCCCTTCTGCACCCCACTTGAGCCCTTGGCTATATTCTTCTTGAGGAAGGACTCCCTGCCAACTGGGGTTATGGGAGCCTGGGTTCCCAGGGTTGGAGAAGAAAAAGACAAAGGGAAACTGGGTACTAATCAAATTTGATTTTCGTTAGCAAATGAAATTTACCTGCTCTCACTTTAACCCAGAGAAGGCTGTCAGCACTATTCCCTGAAACTACTTTGTATGGATCCAGCATTAGGATAAACATTCCTTGGTTGGTTTTAAAGACACTTTGTATTTCAGGATATTCACGTGTTTTCAATGTATCCAAGCAGCTTTATGAGCCCCCATTTGCTGGACTTCTTAACCCTCTCCCTCCCACCACAGGCCCACTGGGGTAAAGAGATAATGGCAAGAAAGATGGAGGTGGTAGGAGAGAAAAGGGGGAGATTATCAAAAGAAGGTAGCACTTTTGAATTTTCCCTGGAGAAGAACTTTTGGGAATGGAGCAAGAGGAGGACCCAGCTTCTGAGGGTCCTCACTCCTGATCACACCAGGGTGAAATTAGTGCCCTGTTTTCTTAAAGGGAAAGGGTTGGTTCTAAATTCTGGGCTGGCCAGTGGGCATGGAAATGGCACATCTTGAGTCATTCACTTGAGCCTTTGTTCTAGATTTTTTTTCATACTTGAAGCAATTCTGGGAAAAGTTTGGTGATGTGGGGATCATTTTGGAGCAGGGGAAACCACTTAGTACTATGGTGTCCAAATGATTACACTTGAAAGTGGAGGTGCGAGGCCGAGGGAGAAAACCACAGATTTTTCCCCCTAAGGTCTCCTCAGTGTGAATTTTGAGGACGGCAAATTGTTGGAGAAGCAGCTCACCCCTTCCCTGCCAGGTTGGACCAGGTACCAAGAAGCCACCAGGCAGAGCCTTCAGAAAGGACAGCAACAACCCCAGAGAAAGCCTCTGTACTGTTTCCTACGAATTCCAGAAAAAGGAGAAGGCCTCTC